CAATAAACCATAGTGGCAACACTGGATGGCAGCACAGAGTTGGAGGGGAAAGAAGGAATGCAAGTCGTTGCTTTTCCATGAAATGCCCCATACTGAGCCAGAACTCCCCCATTCGAACTCCCTTTCCCGAACATAGGTGACACTCAGCCCATTTCTCCCCTCTCCATGACCAGCACAAGTCAGTGTCCAACAGCTCAGCATGCTCCAGACAATTGACCAGTGTTCCTTCCTGAATTCTGGCAGCTCACCTGGAGGAGGCCACATCTCATTCTCCTTCCCCAGGATTTGCTCTCCAAAACTAAGAACTGCTAACACTATCAAAGCAATTCTTCCCATTTCTTTGCAAAGGCTTCAGGCAAACAGTTTCCTCTGGTGGGAGCTTAGCTCCAACATCTCTAGTGTTAGATGTAGCGCTAATGAATCCATGGAGCAAACATAAATTAATTGTATGAAGCTATATTGAAACAGAATAAGCAGTGTTATCAAAAGAAAACACTATTCTTCACTAGAATAAAGTACCAGATTATCTAAACCAAACAGAAACTCTTGTGCTTAGAAAAGAAAAAAATCATAAATACTTTCAGGGTCTTTTACACTAATGTCACCAGCAAACTTGTATACGACTTCACAGAAACATGGACACCATCTAACAGGGACCTGGAACTTGAACCCCTTCTCCAGGTGAACATAAATATTCCTGTTTAGAATATGTAGCAAGTGAACTATGTCTGTGGTGCCAGGACTTCGAAGACTTGAAGAGTTCCCAATTACTCTTTGTGACTTCTTTGCCACAACTGATTTTGCCAAGCCACAAGATACACCACTATTAGGATGATGTGATGAATATACTTTTCCAAAAGATAAATGTCACCCTAACAAAGATGAGATGACAGTGTTCTGCCCTGTGCAGATACACTGCACAGCTGCAACACTGTAAATCACTGGATTACTGAACACTCTGCCAAGCAGAGTACACCAAGTGTGATTAATATGAAGCTCAGCTGGGAAGAAGAGCTTCCCAGAGAAGAGAGAAAAGATCCTGCCTTTGTGGAAGAAATGAGTTGGATCTCAAGCAGATTATGCAGCTGATGGGGAAAAAACCTTTAAAGGTCCCAAGGAAGCTATCACACTACTAAAACAGAATGGCCTTCAAAGTTCAGAAGTATTTCTTTTTCACTGTTTAGTTAAGAAATTTTTCAAATGAAACATGAATCTGTTGTGTTACGGGGTCACTAAAGCAGGTGGAGATATAATGTGAGGACAGAAAAACATAAAATAAAAGTTTATAATATTCCTGAGTCATACACACACTAAATCAACCTTATTTGGACCCAAATCCAGCATCTCTCCTTACAGTCTTAGCACACCGATTCCATGTTAAAAATACATACATACTCTCTGTGATCTGGCTAACTAGAGGTACAAAGTAGAAACTTGTTGTGGCAATAAAGTTTCCAAGTTCCTGCCAACATAATTCCACACTGTTTTCCTTAAGCTTGATGAAATTTACAAGTTAGAGTAATAATAGGGTATGCAAAACAAGGGAACTTAAAGACATCCATGACTAAGATTTAGGCAACAGCTACTGGGCAGCTGTTCTCCATGACACCTAGAGTTCCTGTGTGAAACAGCACCTATCTCAGGATGATACAGGTTGTGAAAGCACAGAAAACAGACAAGAAAGTTTCTCCCCACTTCTGCTTCCAAGTCACAGTCCACTAAACTGATGACAATGATCAGGACTACTCACTGTTAAGCACAACAGTTCAACAAGCACTACCAGTAGCAGGGTGCTTCTTGCATACCTTATCTGTGCAAAGGGATGTACAAAACTCTCTTCCAAAAACACCTGTAATTACGGATACAGACAAACTCCCATAACAGAAGTCACTGTATCCACATACGAACAATAGCAATAAAGATAAGAAGACTGCAGATTTCAAATAGCAGAGTGCGAACTAGGGGTGAGACTGGGTGACTAAATTGGACTATACTGCTTTACAGTCAGGCAGTGTGAGGTACGAGGCCTGGAGGCATTCACATTTCTTCCTATCTTTTTTACACCCAAAGATTGAGCGGAGCTCTCAGCTGCTCTGATAGGCTCTGTGTTTGAAGCATTCAACACATCTAAGACTAAGCCCACAGGAAATCCACTGGAAGAGCACCTGAAGAGAACATGGGTGAGAGAGAACAAAGACTTTATGCTCATGCTCTGAGAAAGCTCTTGAATAAGATGTTTTAGTTAACCTATTTCTCACTCCCTGAACATGGCTCCTCACACACCAACAAACAGTAAATCCTTGACAGCCATACATATACATGGTAGTTTTTGTCTTACTAACTCTATGAGTACACATGACCCCATAAGTTTCCTAACATCAACTGCAACTGTCTGACACAGAACTCCAAAGCCTCTGCTGTCCCTAGCTACAGTCAACTAATTCGGAGGGGACGGAAGATTAGTGAGAGTCAGGAAAAGAAGTCAGCCATGAGACCGTTCCCCAGCTCCGCTTTACTTAGGAGATACACCTTAAGTCGACTCACAGGACAGATATACAGCAGTTAAAAAAAGAAGAAAAAAATGGGGGGGGAAAAAAAGCTACTTCTTTGTATAAATAGGCAAAACGTTCCAAGATTGCCTTCCCTGGGCCGAGTCCTCGGGGCTCGTACCCGGCTGGGCCGCTCCGCCCGCGGCCCCTTTGGGGAGGCCTCCCTGGGGCTGCAGGCACCCCCCTCGCCCATGCCCGGCAGGGCTCGCCCCACGCCCGGCAGGGCAGCCGGACCTCCGGGCTGCCCTGCCGGCGGGGCCCGCACGCCCCGCTCGCCTCACCCGCCCGGCCGAGCCGCGGCCCAGACGCACCTGCGGGGCCGCTGGGGTGGGGAAGGGGCGCTGCCAGCGCTGTGCTCTGGCGGGGGGTCCCCCTGCCCAGGCCCCCCGCCAGCCCCCTCTGCCGGGCCGGGCATGGGCTCGGGCCGCGGGGCCGGGGGCGGCGGGGCCGGAGCCGGAGCCGGAGGCAGCGGCGCCCGCTCCCGGCCGGGCGCCGAGCGGGGCCTGGCGGCCGTGCTCCATCCCCAGCGGGCAGGCCGAGCCCCTCACTCCCTCAGGATCCACCGGGAGGCACAAGCAGCCTGGCAACGGCTTGCCCGGGGCTGGGGAGGGGGAGTGTATGGCACACAGGTTTTTCCCGAGGTTTCCCTGAACGGACCTCTGCGAAAATCCATGTCGCAGGAGCAAAAGGTGCTCCCACGCTCCCTTTGCAGCTTTGGTTTGGTTTAAAAAAAGAACAAAACAAAGCAAAAACCAACCAAACAAAAAAACAGAACCCCCCCCCCCCCAAATGGCATTAGTTCTTGCAAGCTCATGACCACGTTTAAAGACAAATGTTACTGACATTCACATTTGTAACTGTATCGAAACCCTGCCAATTACAGGACTGGGTATCTCCCAAGCAGGGCAATAGCCCCAGATAAAGTGCTGGGATTTCACCTGCGCTTGAAATTAGCTGCTTGGTATTACCTTGCACCATGGTCTTGTAATGTTTGAGCTGTCTCAACCTCTACTTTTGAGAGTTTGGAAACATAATTGGAGCATGCTTTAAAGTTGTTTCCAAAAATTTTATTTAAAAAAAAAAAAAGGCCGTAATTGAAATTATGCCAATAATCAATCAATCAGCCATAACCTTGTCAGAAAGCTGCTTTTTCCCTATAAACTTTGTTCCTGTTACATCAGTGCTGTCATGGACAATCTTTAAATTCTCCTGAAAAAGCGAAAAACCCTGTGATTCAGTTAAAATCTGTGATGACTTTTGGTGTGTCATTTCTCCAACACAATCCTACCCAGGACCTCACAGAAGAATCTGTAGCAGAGCTGCACAAAAGCTAGGTGATCAAGGCTTTGGTCTAGGTTGGCTGCACACTTAGTAAAGCTCAGTATAAACCTTAGTACATATGTGCTTTTACAAATTGTGAGGTTGCAGAGTTTTTGGGAACAAGCTGCGTTGAAATGTACAAGTCAATGCTTGTTATTCCTGTGAAAAACTTGGGTGTTAGCCAGATCCCTTTCTGGTATCAATATTGTCAGATATCTAAGCAAACCAAGCTATGACTCTATGCAGTTGTGTGCATCAGGACTAGAAAATTTGGAGAGTTAAAAACGGTGCTAAGTTTGCTGATGGTACAAAGACACCTTTCTGGTCTGGATCTGCTACATGCTCCAGCATGGCTGCTGCAATTGTGATGGCAGCAGTTAATTACAAAGTGAGCCAAATAGGCTGGGTAAACTTTGCACATAGCAGTTCAAACAAATCTTGACTATTTCCTGATGAAGTGGTGGAATACATGATTAATGGGTTGTGTGCATCAATAGGGCACAATGCTAACTACAGTATAGATGGACAGGAGTTTTTTATGCTGTTTATTTCGTTTTGTCCAAATAGATAAGACAGCTCTTTTTAGAAGACAACTGGAAATTGCTGCCCAATGTCAATTTAATTTCTGTGTACTACTTTTTCACCTTCACTTTGAAGTACTTTATTTTGCTAAGAGTTCTGCTAAGAATTTTCAGTACCTGGAGCTATTTGTCTTTTGAAAGAAGGAAATATATTTTAGCACCACCATCTCATTTCCTTTTTGTCTGTGACATTTTTAACTACTGCCCCCTCACTGAAAGCCCCCTTAAAACTCCTTAGACTTTTTAGCCTGTGTTCTTTTGATTCATGGAGGAGGTAAAAAAGAAGCAGTATTCTGTTTAATCTGGGCCCTTTCTTCATAGAGCATAGCATGCTCTGGAAGCTGAGCAATCTCATTACGGCTAATTCAGTGGGAGCTGAAGTGGCTCGCTGAAGTGCACTGAACTGCAGCCTCAGCCCCCAAAGTGGTGCATGAATGAACTGCTGACATAGTTAGAGTAGAACATTAAGAATAAAAGGTTGAATCTCATTTTTTTCCTGCACCAGTTGTAATACTTGAATGTGTTTGTTAGGCTAAGTCATGTCAAATTTGTAAATTAATTTGTTTCGTTGAAGGTGAGTAATAGAATAGAAAGCCGTTAGGCTTTTCTATGTAAGCTACTGGTTTAAAGTATATCTAGTAGGACTCAAGGATTGGATATGGTAAAACCTGAACTTGGTAGCTCAAAGATGGTACAGTGCATTGAGTTGATACTTTTATGGGAATGAGATCTTGCTCCTGAGTGACAACTTTCCGCTCAGAGCCCACCTGCCTATATTTAAAGCCAGGGCTCTTTTTTCCCTATGTACATAATTTATCTCATTTTTATCTGTTGTTTTACTGACCACTCGCTCTGTCTCATAAGGTCTTTCTGCCCTCATTTATACCGCTTCCCTCATTCTCACTACTATGAATACTTTCATGGATTGGCAAACTATCATATCTCGTTGCTTCCTTCCCTGTCCAGGTTGTTGCTGAGAAAAGTCCTTATATTCTGAAATTACAATCCAAGTATAATAAATTATGCAAAGGCAAAAAGACCAAAATTTGCCAAGCCAGTAGTACCCACAAACATCTTACATGCTGATATTGTCCATGCTGATTTCTGAAACTCTGAATTTCTTGAAGAAATCAAGAAACACCAAATATTTGAACTTTTTCAAGTGAAGTGTCAAGTGCTGACATGGTATAGCAATACCTAGGAGATCACTTCATATGAATTTCAATTCATCCAAGTCTTTCACATTGTAGAAGTTTTCATTACTCATTGAATCCACAGGAACTTGGGATTACTGGCTTGTGAAGTTCTTCATAATGAAAGACCAGTAAATAATTTATCTAAAGCAAGTAAGAAGTCATATATTATATATACCAGGATGCCACGTGTAACAGGTATGTCTGTATTTAGCACCACACTGTTATTAGTAGCCATGGAACCTGATCCTGTGTGATGTTGCTCTGTTTTGATAGCTCTTTCAGACTGGATTAAATAGATGAGGAAGGGTGCCAGTTTTATTTGACACAACCCAGGTTGCAAAATTAATGTGTAAACAGATCTATTATATAGCAACTTGGAGTTGGTAAGTGAACAAAGACTTCAACGGTTTTGTCCCTTTTAATCACTCTGTGAGTAATTGTGGTTTAGGTGAAACTGATAATAATTTTGTTGCAGAAATGTTTAAAAATTTGGTGGTTCAAAACTAATAGTCATTGTAATACCTTGTTTGACTCAAAAAAAAGGTTGTCTTTTGTTCACATCAAACCATTTAATAATTACCGTATGTTAAACTTAAAACCTTTAAAGAGCTATGGTGGGGAAAGACATATGAGATGTTACCTTAAATTCTTCTTTTTTTTTTAATATCTTTCCTTCTTGTTGAAGTGTTAAGTTTAGTGTAAATTTCTGAAATATTCATTGGTATCCTGGTTATGGTCAGTTCTTCTGCCTCAGAAGTGGAAGATTTAAGTTCTATAGCAGAGTGTCTTTCATTATAGTTAGAAAGGAATCTGAATGAAGTATAATAACTTCAAAGTTAAATGCCGTTCAAGCATACACAAACAGCTTCCTGGACTCTCTTGTAAGCTGAAAGGAAAGGACAGAGGAAATACAGTTGATAAACAAAACGTCCTCCTTTGCTTTTCTAGTCTAGTTGCAAATCCAGCCAAAAAATGTAAGGAGTTCATTCAAAAAACCATTTTTTACATTTAGTTTTTCTAGATTTTTTTAATTTTATTTTTACAGGTAATGGCCAAATGAGTCCCAAAATGTTTAATGGCTTCAGAATAACGAACAGTTCACTGGAAAGGTTGCCTGGATATGTTCTGCATTCAACAACTGAGCTTTTATTTAATTTTATCTCATAACAATTACAAGAAATCTTGAATAAGTCTTTATAATAAGGAAAGACAAGTTTGGTTTGATATGGAATGTTATAAATCTACCATATTCACTCTTCTGACTATTTGTTTTACAGCTGGGAGGACCACGACTGTAACTCAGAATAGCAGAGAACAGCTAACAGGAGTTGGCTTGAGAGTAACAAATGCCCTGGTAGAAAAGAGTGGGATAACTAAAGAATTATTTTAGAAATTTGAAGTGTGGAGGACAAGGGAAAGTTGATGATGAGAAAAGCCGAGGAAGAAATCTGAAGATCAGACACCAGAATAGTTGCTATTTATAAGAAGGTAGGAGCTTGGAAAAGAAATAGAGGAATGTGAGCTGCTTCAGGGGTAACAGGAATGAGACAGAGGAAACAGAGACAAAATTTTTAGACAGAGGCTATCAGAGAAGGAGCAGAGCAGAATAGGGGGAGTTTTCAGTCACACAGAAGCAAGGTAAAATGGCCATCATTGCATCAGTAATTAACATTTGTGGCAATCATGACCTTAAGTTTTACAAGTCTTCAAATATTATTATTATTATTATTGATTTTTTGTAAGAGTACAACAGCCTGGGTGTTAATAAAGCATTCCTCTTCAGTTTCATTGGTGTATAGGTTATGTAAATGCATTTCTATTGTTTATTTACCAAGAACATGCAAAGCTGAATTCCTTAATTATAGTGGTTACGACCTCTAGCTAATATAGTAATCATTGCTGCTAACATTAAGATTCAAGAATTTCTATTCACAAATGCTTTTCACAGACAGACAGGCAAAAATTCCTGTTGATATACATGGACAATTATCAAAATAATGTTTTTTAGCAAATCTAGAGTTTGACATATCCATACAAAAACTCCCAAAAACTTTCAGATGATCTTAAAATAAATAGAGATATGTTTGTAATATTATTCTTTGAAGTTAAGAACAGGAGAGTAAATACCAGTACAAATATTTCCCTGTGTAATCTAATTACAGTGATATGTAAGGATTTAACATATAAGTCACCTCAGTTGCCAAAGTTTACAGTTCACCAAAAAAACCCCAAAAGTACTGCATACATTCCATAGAAACCATTTGTGCAAGACAATATGTATTTATGCAAATCCTACTAAAATTGCAAAGGTGTCTGCCGGGAAGATAAAGCAGATACATTACAGAGAAGTAAAGCACAGTCAGATAATTTGACATCAAAAAGCAGTAGCTTTGTGGTTTGGCAAGGTGTAAGATAAAATGTTCTTTTACTTGTCAGGGACAACTTGTTCAGGTTTTAGTGACATAAACAGCTCCTTTAATTTTCATCTGGTACATAGGTAAGCACACTTATACAGAATGGAGAGCCGTGAAGCTATAAATGCATAATGAACCAAACCTCAGAATATTTGTTCACATCCCTACAGCTGCAAAATAGAATTAAAACCTGCCTTGTTAGTACGTATTTTGTGGAACATGTGTAAAGTGTTTCTCAACACTTTTACTGTCTGTTTTCCTCCTTTCTCCTATGACTTAGGTTCAGAAACAATCTGAATGTCTAGGAGAACTTGAGATGAGACCCTTCTTCTCCAGCACCCCTGCACAGGTAACACTAGACACCAGGACAGAATTAGGCTCCTGGGGCCCTATCAGCATTCCCTCTCACCACCTGCATCCACTAAGCTAAATTTAAATACTCCTACTGAGTTCAGTGATACAGGATCAGCCTTTATTGTCCCATGCCTCTGCCAAGGCAATATCCACCTGTGATGTCAGTTTTGAGTCCTTAGTTTATTATACCGATTGTTCCAAATTACTTCCATTCCATTCACAAGGAAATGGCAAGTATCAGTTCTGTGGGAGGACGGGTGTTGTAGGGTTTTGCCTGTTGCCTCCCCGACTCTGGCACTCCGCTCTGTTGCTGGTACCCCTCTTACTATGATGACAGTTTTAGTTAAAGAGACCACAAATCTATGCCTGCTAGTTCTACCTGAAATCCAAATTCACTGCTGCCTGTGTCTCTCCTCTGATCTTATCTCTGCTGTATAAGTCATGTATCAAGGCCCAGGTAAACTCTAAATGAGACATTAAGGTATCTGTGGTCTAAACCAAGCGCAAACACATGCTGCTAATGTCTACAAGCACCACTTTACTGTGCCTAGTTTTATTGTTAGCACAATCAGTGATACGCCCAAGAACTTTCCCTAGCTTGGTTAAATTTTTCTCGTTTTTCTTGAGGGGAATTCCAGTTTTCAAATTCTTCCATCTGTAACTGTCTCCAGACCCTTACTTACAAAACTGAGACTATCTGCCAGATAAAACAGCTCTTACAGCTCTGCTTGTTTATACAGGATACCTTGTAAATACAGGGGTGATTTAGGAGATGAACTTTGCATTCCAGTAGTCTTCCCTGTGACTTGCTATCATTTAATAGCACACTTTTCAGCCTAGATTATCTTCATGTCTCTTAAAAGTTTATAATATGTGTTAGGCAGTGTTATAAGAAAATTGTAAAGCTTAAAAAGATGGAGATTTGTACTTCCAGAGCTGAAGGCAAATATTAGTAGTATTAGTGTTATTAGTATTGTTATTTTATATTAATTTTATATTAATTATTATATATTAATTATATATTTATATTAATTGTTATATTAATTTTATTGTTATTGGTACAATCCAGTAAATTTTATACCATTAGGCTGTTAACTATAAACTAAGGCAGAAAATCAGCATCTTTGTCAGGATTTTCCTACTTTCATTGCCTGAAAACTAAGTAACTTAGTAACAACCAAAAGTCTCAATTGAATGTCAAGATGTTGACTTTGCAACTTAAAATACAGGTGTGTTACAGACACCTTTCTGATTAAGAGCATTCATCACAGTGCCTGTATGCAATTTTCTGCACTGGTGAAGCTCATTCCTGTTTCAGAAATCTTTGGCACTGCTCTTCAGATAGGAATATTGTAGAGAAGTCTGGGAGTCTAACCCTCATTGGCATACTGCCAACCATTTTAAGACTCAAAATTAACTTAATTCAGCCCTATTCACAAGATCAATGAGTTCCCTCTCAAATATATTTTATGTGAAGCAGATTTGTGAAAAATGTTTCTTAAGCAGTGCAATTTCATTGCAGCTATTGTGGCAGGGCATATGCATCGCCAAATCATTGGCTGGGAATGAGGTTGCTTGATCTATTATGCAGTCACAGCAATAAGAAACACACTGTGCTCCTATTTATTCTTTTTACCATTTGCAACTCACTTGATAAGTGTGGGTGCATAAAATTGTCCATTTTCCCCTCTGGAATACTTTGTTGCAATTTTCCAGCAATAATGACAAAATAGTCTGTTAATAGCATGAATTGACAAGTTTCTTAGTAAGACCATTGTGTTCTCACCAATACCTAGCAAACAGAGATAATGAAAAGGCAAGTTCTTAGTCCTGGCAAGTCACAGTTGCATTTTCATGTTCTTGAACAAGCAGAAATGAGACAGTCCTCCCAACCAGAGATTAAAAGAGTTTAATTCACTCAACAAGCAGAGGCAACATAAGAGTATTCATCAAAGCCAGGAGGATGAAGAACACACAGTAGTTTTGAACTGCATTTAGTGTTCCAGTGTTTTGCTGAAGTTAAATATTGCTCAGGACATAACCTGAAATTAGAAGCAAGTTGTCATTGTTTACCTCCTGACACATCTCACATTAGTGGCTTTTTTTAGACCTTTCATCCGTAGAACAGGTAACCTGCATACTCTGATGATTTTTAAGCTTGTCTTTTTGTTGTGTAATAGGATGCTGCTAGCGCTTGGAGACTGTCCTTTCCTCTCTTTGTGTTCCTCACTGTAAGCCCAGTTTCTTTCAGGGAGTGAAGAACAGCAGTGACCTGTTATAAAGTCTGGCACTTCACTAGCCTGTATCCTGCAGTGTTTAAGTACTTTAAAAAGTGGGGCAGGCTTTAGAAAACAGCCTTCCAACTGATTTCATGTGTCTAATAATAACCTCTTAGGCGAGGAACAGTGCATGTGCCTCATGTAAACGATCATACTGTCAAAGTAGACAGAGACATACAAGCTACAAGCTCAGAAAAACAGTCTTACAGGCTGTGGATAGATTTTTGTTCTTTCCATCCTGGACAAAGGCATCAATTCAATATTGGGATGGCTATCATGGAGTGAAGAAGACAATTTTCTTCCATGTGGTTTTAGCATAAAAGGATTTAGGCAATTTTCACTATACTCATTGAGGACTGGTCTGAGTATTTCTTGCATGTGATTTCATGGCTTATTTGCTTTTGTGCATTACTCAGTGGATGTTGGTGATAAGGTTGCACTTTCTGAGTGGTTAAATTTGTTAACATTAATAGCTAGAGATATGGAATGCTGTGCACTACTGTGATCATATTAGCTCTCCGAACAAAACTTCCCTGAACAGAAATAGCAGTGTGCTTATCTGTCCTAAATCAAAACAACCATCAGGCTTCCACTTAAAATTTCACTGATTCTATATCTGTATGCTAGTTTGGTCCAAGCCAAAGAGCACTGTGTACATTAGCATTTCACAACTTAGTAATCATTCTCAAACATTATAGGTTTCTGTAGAGACTGTTGGAATTAGATGAGTTGCTTTTCATAGGAGAAAAAACAGTTATATTCAAAATACTAACAGAAAACTAACAGGAAAATATTAAAAAAAGAATGAGAAAATAAAAGATTGAGAGTATATTCCCATTTATCATAACCTCCTTTTTCCAAAGCTTTACATACATTATATTTTTTGTGAAGCACTCATTCTGCTATGCTAGCAAAGGATGTCATAACATTAACTTGCAAAATGACATAGAAGGTTCTTGCTGCTCTGTTCTTTCACTTGTTAAAACCTTCAGTGATACTATCAATCATCATAGAAGCACTGCAGGGACCTGAGTTTTCATCTTGTTACATAGGTGAATGAAACACTAATTGTTTGATATCAATGTATTATTTGGCAGTTTGAAGGTTTTGGTTTTCCTGACAGCAGTTTATATGGGCTTCTGAATTTCCCTTGTTCTGTAGAAGTATCAGTGAGAGGAAAATAAAGGGATGCAAGTCTAGGCAACCTTTTTCTTTTCTGAAAAAAGAGCTCAAATAGGTTTATGTTTAAGTTACAGAAAGAGTCCTCAATTATTTAATATTTCTTTTCTAATTTATTAAATCCCTGTCTTGTTCATTCAGATCAACTCCACTGGGATTCAGCAGTGTGTTATTTATCATAGCAAGCTCTGGACAGGCAAAAAACAGCTCACCCAGTTTCAGTTAAAAATGTCTCTGTTACATGGAATTGCATCTTTTCTTAATTTATGTCAATTCAGGTGACCGGCAGTTAGAAAAACTAATAAAGGTTGCTAGAACAAATGAAAAGTATTTTACTTTTGCCTGAAGATATTAATGTAGCAGATTCATGTCACTTAATTAGCCACTTAATTGACTTGAGGTATACCAGTGAGAATGAGAAATAATATCACTGATTTCAGTGGTATCACTAATCACTAGAAATATCACTAATTTTAGTGATATTCCAATGACGAACCTGAACATTGTCTTTTGAACATTGTCGTCTTCTTACTCATAAGAAGCCTTCCAGATTTAATCTCTCAAGTTTGTATTTCAAGTTCACAGGATGAAGTCCAACGACCCATTTAGAGAAAAAATCTCATACTCTTTTTACAGCTCAGCAGTAACCCCTGATATGAAAGCTCCCACGATGTGTGGAAAGGACATTTGTGGGATAGGGGGTACTCTTATCATCTAAAAGATTAGCATTAGTGAGCTGTGTTATAACTTCACTGCAGCCAATAGTGTAGTTAATAATAGTTAAAACCTGATCTGATTCTGGTGCTGAATTTCCTATGGTTCTGCTACTTCCTGGCAGTGTTCAGACTCTTTCAGTTTACCTTGCAGAGCTCAGGCCACAGTTGCATCCTGATACCAGAATTGAACCATTTGTAAATTGAAATATACTGCCTTCTGTTTCTTAGCATGGGAAGAAATTCCAGAGGACGAACAATACTCACAAATTGAACTTTGCCAGAATATATTTTTTTAATTAAACATTACAATAAAAGTCTGTAACATTACACTGAATTTACCATACCAAGCATGTATATAAATTCAATAGAAGACATTGTCAATTTGGCAGTGTTTCATCAGACATCTTAGTTATCTGATTGCATTAACGCTGCATATCCCAACTCTCCTTGTTCTGCGTTATATCTCTCCCTGTTGGAATCCAAGCCCTGGAGTCAAATTAGAAAATTTCTCTACTCTTTGAAATTGTTGGATCAAAGAAATGAGTGACATCTCTGATCTCTGAGAATAGAAAAGCACACGCTTTAGTAAGATCTTACTCACTGTTAAGAAATTGTGACTGGAGACATAACACATGGTTAAAACAGAGTTAGGGCCAAAATCATGAAGCCCAGAGCTCAAATCTCATCTGCAACTGACCTAATGTGATTCCCAGTGTTAGTGTTCAGATTCAGTCCCACACTGAAAATTGCAGATCCAACTTTTCTGTGTTTGGAACATAATGTTTAAATATGATAAAAATCACTAAGCTTCTCTTTAGCTAAGCTTAAATTAATCAGAGCTTTTCTGAGCCCCTCATGCCAATCTACTTTTTTTTTTTGCTGGGTTTCTCATCCATTGCCATCACTTCAAATGAAAAAAATACCGCCTTTATTCAAATGAAACAGTGTCATTAGCTGTTTCAGAAAACTCCTCAGGTATTAAGGAGATGCTGTGAAGCCAAGTGCTCTCTGCTAGCTGTTGCATTCAGACTGCTGGGAGAAAAGTGATTATCTGCAGGGTAGTGCATCCCAAAATCCAAACAGTAAATCAGTCCCCATACGTTTGGGCGTGCTGGAGCTGTCATTAACTGGGACGCAGATGGGGAGCTCTAACCGGTGTAAGAGATGCCCTCCCGTGCCCTCGGGAGCGCCCGTGGGCCAGAGGCGCCTGTGCCCGGCTCGGCATTGCCACCTCCCGGCCCAGCCCCGGCACTCCGGCCCGAGATTCTGCTGGAACACCAACCCCTCTTCGTTTCCAAACAGCCGAGAGCATGGGCAGTGTCACAGGCACTTCGAGCTTCCCAGCAGTGCTGCAGGGCGTTTTTTGCTTTACTCTGGCCCTGTAGGGAAGCCTGGATAGCAAGAAAAGATGGGGCACAATGGCACTGGGGATCTTTCCATGGAAACCCATGCGCGACAATATAAAGGTGCTTTCATACATGTGACGTGTGTGGATTGACGTATGACACTGCAGGTCATCACTGTGTTTTCAAATTCTAAGCTAGGCTGAGGACCCATTGTTGCACCAGGGATGTCCTTACCCATCCACCTCATTGGTACTACAGTGGCACAGCATTGGCTGACTTCTGGCCAAAGTTCAGTATTTCTGTACTAGCACACAGAACGAATGGGAAGTGGCCTAAAGCCTCATTTTACTTGCGCATTCTCCATTTATCTCACCTTTTTATATAACCAATAGTTTGTAAGGACATATGATGTTTCTTCATGGCAGAGTAAAGCTAGGCTTAAGACATACATTCAATTAGCAGATGAGTTAGAGCTAATGCCTTCTTACCACGCCTCTTATCCTAGGATTTGTTATTGCCTCTGTGCCAGATATCACTGGTGGAATGGCACTCCTCAGCCACGTCAGTGCAAAGTCTGATGGCTTAACTTAAGCTGTTGCGCAAGGCAGTTCAAGCTAAGCTGCAGTGTATTGCATGGACGATAGAAAATGCCCATATATTTTCTTCCATCAGCAGAACCGAGAGGGGCTCACACTCAGAGGGTAGCAGACAGCTGGGAGCTGTAGCACTGTGAATCTGTGATATTTTTTCTGTGAATATTTTGTCTAGGACTCCTACCATCCGTTTCACTGGGCACTTTTAACAGAAGTGTACTTAGAACTTGATCTTATTATAGTACGGTGAAAGACTCATACTTTCATTTAAGTATTCCTCAACTTGCTGGGTATGAAACATTTTAACATTAAATTTAGAAAATGCACCCTCCCCTTACAGTTTTAAAGATTCTATTTAAGTCTCAGCAATACATCAAAACATTCAAGTGTTGACTAGTTAATAAATACAGCAAAACTAGGAGAAAATATTATATAGTTAGCATTACATAGCTTTTCATCTGTGCGATGAGTATGCCCAGCTATACAGCAGTCAAGAAGCCATTTTAATTAGAATTTAAATTAGACTTTTTAGACCTGTGAAGAAGAAGGCGGCAAAAATAGGCCAAAAGATACCACCAACTGCAGAGAAACTCATCATGCACCACTAATGTCCTGGCAAAAACGAAAATGTTCTCTAGCATGACCACAACGGAGAAAGAAAGCGTTGCAAGCTCTAGCATAGAAAGAGTGCTTATGTGAGGGCTTCAGATTAGCAGGCATGAAGAGTGTTTCTGCATATTTGAACATCTCAAGAAGACATATAAGACAGAGGAAAACCTGAACTTTCAACAGTGTTTTAGATTTCCTGCATTAGTAACTTTATGCACAGTTTTCCAAAGGAAAAATTTGATGAAAATTTTGTAAGATCCTATAGCAAAGCTAAGGCTAGTTTTTGGATGCTTTTTTCCTCTGGGTAAATAGTACATCCCAGTCTTCAGGACTGGCAGCTCAGCACTTTCACCACCTTTCCATTAAGATAAATTAAAATGTAAAAAAAAAACAAACCATGTTTCTGCTGTTTCTGAAATAGAGCAGAAATCACAGTGCTAATTGAGAGGCAAACTTCTCAGACCTTGTTTTTTCTATATGCAGGTCATGAACTGAAATTTAACTAGATTCAAAGAGCTGACAGGATAAAAGGGTCAACATTCGGGGTCCCACAGATCATGGCAACAATTATTGTGAGGTCAATAGCTGTAATATGGATACTAACTTTTGAGTTATTTTTTCAATTAGTCATCCGAGTGATATGAAACTAAATGTCTGGGCTGGTACTGACTAATGCGTGTATCACCGTAATTATCAGGGTATTTTGGCATATTTTTTCTTGCTATAGGGTCATCTCAGAGTCAAGCATGCAAACCAGAAGGCAACATCTTTTCTTCCATGAAGACTACTGGCATATAACTGCACTATTTTAGTTCTGCATTATGGCTGCAGATGTTTTCAGACTTTTCTCTTTATTGAACGATGAAACGTTTCATTCAACTCGGGAAAATGACTGGTCTTGTCAATTGCTTACAACACAGGGAGCAAGCAGCCACTCATTCCTTTTTTTTCCTGCAACTCTGCCGCTCGTCCAGCAGGGGGAGATGCAGGAACAAGGAGACAATTTCTCTCGACGTCTAAAGAAAAAGACCTGGGATCATTTGTCAGGAGAGTTCCCCTTTGTCTAAGCTACTGTACAACAGGTCAAATACAAGACATTTATGAGACACTTATTTACTATCTTAGTTTAGTCTTCGTTTTGCAGAGGAGTAAAAGGTCTATCAAGTAATTAGACAGTGTTTTCCAGGCCCTGGTATTGAGTGCTCATCAATAGTAAATCTTCTGAGTTTCAGCTGTCAGTCATTAATAACTGAGTACATGTTTGAGCTGTGCAAATCCAGGTAAAAGAAACATAAATGTGGTTGAAAGGGAAAGCATAGGTTTGTTTAGCTTTTTATTACTTAGTGCAGTATTTTTAAGCAAACAGAATAAGCAAAGGAAACTGAAATGGCAGCCTAAATTAATTGACTATGCATGATAATAGATATTTAACTATGGATAAAAGGAAGTTTAGCTATCTATTCAGCATGTAATTTTTCCTGTACCTTACCAGTGTATTGGTCTGTTTCATTACTAAAATGTATTCATCATGCTGTTGTATCTCGGCCTATACCCTCACTCTTCGTCATGGAAGTTTGTTTCTTATTATTCATTTATCTTACTATAGTACTCTGTCAGGATCAGATCATGTGAACGTTCCCTACATGGGTTTGATTTCATTCCTACTCTTGTGCCCACAAACACTTTTGTACTTTTGGGGTACTAGGATTGCAAGTAGATGCAGGAAACAATGGCAGCAAATAGACAACTTACCTGCTCTAAGTTAAGCAAGTACAAAGCTCTGTACGATTTTGGCTTTACTCATGCCCAGTTTATCCAGTAACTTCCATCTGTTTAGGTTTTGCTGGCTGGTTTGGTTATTATCTTTGGTCCTCATGTCTCTTTCTCAAACTGTGCAGTGTCATGATGATCTTTTTCCCCTCTCTCATTAGGTATTTGTTAGACCAAGACATATTACCTTTCATTTACCAAGCTGGGCACTGTAATAAACCAGAAAATATCTGGCCAGATCCTGAAAGCATTTGACATTCATGCACAAGGAATTAATATAAAGTTATTTGACACCCCAATAACTGTATACTTACACTGTGCTTTTTGCCTTAATCCCCTTTATAAATGCTCTGTGTGCAGCTCTGGTAGAGCTTTGCATTCCGGCATAGTCTGTCACACACTAACTTCTTTCGTTAGGTGTGCGTTGAAGCTGTGAAGCAGAAGCAGCCTTCAGGCCGGGTAGAAGATATCCAAGTCTTTACTTATCAAAGTTTGGGTTTAGATATGAGTCCAGACTTCACAGCTAGCACTGCCTCTGAAATAGTCTTTTTTGGGTGGTTTGCTCAATGCTCCCTCAAAACTACAGAGCCATGCTCATGAAAGTCGACAACACTTTGCAGAATATGTTACTTACCAGTGTATTCTCCTTATGCTTTTCTGCCTACTGGTTATATCAGCCTGATAAGCTTCTAAATACAGATAAAAAAGTAGCAGAGGTGAGGCTTGTCTTATCTGCCTACTTCATCACATGGTCAAAGGATACATTAGCAACCACTTCACTGAGGATAAATTTCTGTGGGTCCTGCCACACACAGAGTTGTTACACTCAGGTTGAGACAGACAAATCTCCTTTTCAAAGAATGGGTGAGGCAAAGCCAGAGCTTGTTCTGGAAGCTTGCCATGCCAGACTAGGCGATAATGTCAGATCCTCTCTTTTCTTTAATCAAAAGGGTGAACTTTCAGCATGTGTCACTGTGAACATGTTTATTGGTTTAGAGCTACTTGATCAGGTGGAAACAGGACATGGTCACAAGGGATAACCACAGAGCAGCCAGGCTGGGAGATGTCCTTGTAGAGCTGTGCAAGTCTTGAACTGAAAAGGAAGAAAATAGGAGACGGAGCTGCCTCTGCCTCAACAGGCAGGATCACCACGGTTCTGGAGGAGGAGATGATGTAAGGAGGCTGCAGCTGCACATATGCCATGCTGGGGGCGGTTCTAGGAACTTCCCCATCTCTGCCTGCCCAAGATCCTGATAAGTATAAAATATTGTGAAATTGTTGTAGATGTTTGTGTTTAAGTAGGAAACTGAAGATCTATTGCATTTGGCATCTTTTTTTCCTAACTTTTCTGGTAATTTTCAGGCGAGAATCTTGGGCTGGAAACAGGTAGATCTTGGGGTGTAAATCTGGTGCAGTTGCATCCTGATAACTGCATGAGCACACATGCAGACACTGCATGAAATGCTGGCATTTGAAAATATGAAAGGGGAAAAAAGGTGGATCTACATTTGATACTATTGTGAAGGATTTGCTCTGCTTCTGAAGATTGCCTTACATCTGCGCTTTCTAAAGTCAGGGCAACCAGATTTTTTTTCCAGTTTCTCTGCCAGAGCTAATGTGCCTAGGGAAATGCAGGGACTCAGTCCTACTTCAAAGTCCAGTTAAGACCCAGGGATGAATGTGCACTATTATCTTCCTTACACTCATTTTTCTGGGAGCTCTTCCTTTGTTTACTCTCTCCTGAAACAAAACTTATCTGCCACCCTGTTCAGACTGCAAAGAAAGTGATTTTCATCACTTGTATTTTTTTAGCTATCACCTTATCTCCAGCCTGAAAGATGGGATAAGTTGTGTCTTCATTTGAGTATAGCTCCAGGCTTCCACTTAAAACATTACAGACAAGATGTTTTAGGGTCTAGTAAGAGCAGTGATCCTCCTCCATGGATTTAGTTTTGAAATGCGTAGATTTAGAAATCCACCTCTGTAACATAATTATTTGTTAGATTTTAATCAAGAATAAGTATGCTAAATTTGCTGTCTAAATATGTCTAGGACTTGGACAAATTTTTTCACCACCGATATTCTAATTATATAAAATAGATGTGGATGTAAACAGAAAGCATTTTTTTCATGACTAATAAAAATATAAGTGGATCTAAATAAGTATCATATGGTGTTTGATTTTAAAAGATAAGAGATCATCAACTGTCAGATAAACTCAGAGTTTGGCTTGATTTTAGCTCAACTTCACAAATTAAAGGCAATAAAATATAAGTTCATGGACTATCATTTTAAATTATTGTCATTGATGGATAAGATTGTTAAGGAAATAATCCCTATATCTTTCTGTGCTAGGCACAGTCAACTGTGTCAAATTTCTGAAGTAATATTGTATCAAATGTATATCTGTTGTTATGTTCCCCAAGCTTATAAGAAACTGGGTAGATCTAATAAACGAGAACTGCTTGGTTTTAATATGAGGGAAAGAATAGTGAAAGTATTATTCTTTGATACAGATTCTTGTAGTGAATGGCTATTGCCATCTGAAGTGGAGTCTCATTCTGGCATTTCTTACTAGAATAAGAAAGATTATATTTTAATGGAGTATCTCTATATAATGGTCTACACAAAGATAGAGTCCCCACTTCTTCCCATCCCCACCCTGCTCCCAAAAATGATAAATTACTGCTGTGTATTTACTACAGTTTTTCATTATCTTCATTTACTATGTTCCCTTTAGCTCCCTGATAGATAATTAATAATATATTTGGTTTTGGGGTTATTTGTATTTGTAACTTTATTCTTGGGGAATCTTAACCAGTCCAAACTGTATCTGACCTCATTTTTCAAGTTTTTGTTAAAAGCAAAGTTATTAATTTTCAGATTTCTCAAGCCAAGTCATGCATTAATGTTCTCAAAGTAACAACCACAACTGAAATCTCTGGTAGCAAACTAGCTAACCAAGAAAGGTAGTTTCATGGTGTGGCCTCTTCACCTTTTTTTTTGCACTTCCACTTTTGCTCTGATGTCATGAGCAGTACAATGCTGGCGTGGTCAAAACTACAGTCATGTCCTTGAAAACTATTACAATCACTTATGTATTCCTTAAATCATGACAGACACACATGTATGCACATGTGCACACATTCATGAGGATAAGGACTTTGCTAGTTTAGTAGGGGCCACTGAAACGATGCTTGTTATTAACAAAATCCTTAAAATGCACCTAACAGCAATAATCACTACTGAACTTTCAGCTGCATTGTTTGTGCATCATTTGTATTGACATGCCTCCTCTTTTTTTTGCCACAAAACTAGCAAACCACTCCTTTCTAATGTGAAGAGAAGGCAGAACATTATTGGTTGAGAGGAACTTGAGGATAACAATTACAGTGATTCCCAGGATGCTTTTAGTGATCCTGAAAGCGGAGCATCAAAGCATTTGCCTTTGTTTCACATTCTCACAAAGCAAATCTATAGAGGTAATTGATGAATGTAATTTTTCCCCCTTCTTGTGCTGCAAGGAGTGTTCTGACTTCCTGCTATTGTCCCTATGCCTGATGCCACTTACTGCTTTTGTTGGCAGATCACACGTGCTCCGTGTTGCCACACAACTCCTTGCCCTTTAGAAAATCCTTTAACTCCACTTTCTCCTCTGATAGTACGGTAGTGTGCCAGCAGCTCCTCGCTTTTCATACTTAAAGCATCTAGGTTGTGTAAGAGGCTCAATATTGGATGCCACTGCTTTGGAGGGTTCTTTGTGGTGGCTTTTAATATAGGAGAGCACAATCTGGATGTGGCAGAAAAGGCAGGGTTCAGAACTGTTTTCCAAAGCAGTCATTAAGAGTCAGACCCACTACACTAGGTCAATGAGTAAACTATCCATGCCTCTCTATACCTGTCATGGCAAAAATATACTGGCATGCAGCTGATCCCATTAGCATCACTACTTTAGCCCAAATTCCAGTTGTTTGGGCTTTTAACCAAGCATTAACTTGAAGGTACCCCGTGATTGTGGCATTACAGGAGGAGATTTCTACAGATGTAAATCCTCCCCAAATTCCTCAGAGGCAGAGAGTGCCCACCTTCCTAATCTCTTCCTTTCCAGTTCACGAGAAGGTAGTTAGAAATTAGTCAGAAGTTGTGAAACTGTAGACCAACTACCACCCCCATCTGCTGAAGAGCAGAGAATTCAGGAAACCAGTGGCAGTGACCAGAGCCACTCAATGGGAAAAGATTTGCAGAAAAATAAAAAGGGAAAAAGAAGGACCCCTATTTATCTTGTCCAGAATTGACCAAGAAGCTATATACTCCCTTTTGGGGCCATACGTGATTGGGATGGCAGGAGTAAGCTCTGTGGTTTCAGAGTTGAAATCTTATTGGCTAGCAGAAGCTTTGATGGTAGAAAATGTAGTGTTTGTGCTTCCTTAAACCAACTTCAGTGAATCTGGCCCTTTGTTGCTTGTAATATTCAGGTGATCTAGATTTTGCTGTTCTGTTCTCCAGATCTCTATTCCATGACAAAAAATGAAAGTTGCGCTTCATGACCTTTTTCCTGTGCATGGTGAATTTGAAATTACCACTAAAGTAGACCTAGGAACATCCGTGTTAGTTCATTCCAATTAGATAATATATATATCTGTGTATGCTTCCCCTACACGTCACGGTGGTCTTACTTTGAAGTCTTGAACTAGAACTAGTACTGCACTGATTTCTAAAGGCTTTGTGATACATAAAGGAGTTGCTAATGATGCCAAATACCACTAGAAAATGCTAGATTTGACAATGTAGAAGAGGTAGGCTGAGACAGGTTTCCATTCAAATGCATCTTTCAGATGTGTCCTTAGGAAACAGGAGAAGCTTTTCATTTGAAGAATCAAGGCAAATCTATCCAGTGAGCTTATACAAGCCAGAGACCAAATGTCTGCACTTCACTTTGCTCTCAGAAATCTGCAGGTTCTGGTGCTAGTGAAGCTGAAGACCTGCATTATGTAGCTCTCATCACAGTTTTCAATGGATTTCTCTTAATATATGAGCTTCCTTATATATCCCAATATCAAACAAAAGAGCCATTCTTCAATAATGTCAGAGAATGAGATAGAGATTAGTATTATTTCACCAGTCTACTATAGGCCTGGATAAGAATTTTATTACCAGTAAAGTTTTGAAATTAATTTGCAAGATAGAATTAACCTAAACAGAGAAAGTTGAACTGTACATTTTTCTACATACTAGTTCAACCCTGCACAGCTCCAGTGCAACAGAAATGTTGAATTGGACCTATTTTTAATTTCACCTCCTCTTTCTTCAAAGATATGGCATCTGCTACAAGAGTTGTGCTTGTCACTACCTGTGTTCTTAAGGGTTCTGAATTCTCATTATGTTTAAACATACTGTCTGGATTCAACCAGGAGTGGAGGAATGCAAGAAAAGAGAAGTAGCTGGGCAGAGAGGGAAGCAAGGGTTGACAGTGCTTCTGCACTGCTCATTGTAGTCAAAAAGGGGGTGGAAGAAAGAGCTGATCATCCCTTAGGTTGTGTTTCCAAGGACATTTCTCCTGGTGAACTGTGCTGGTGCAGGCAGCTCCCCCATCTCTTAGATCCTCCTTCCCACCACCATACAGTCCCATCAGTTATGCCTGCAAACCTTAAATTTTCTATGGGGGCTGGAAAGTAACACCAGAAATTAAAAACGTGGGATAAAAGGCTTATGTTGGCAGTGCTACTGAAAAAAAAGACCCATGGAACCACAGGCTTACAGTGGTACCTGGGCAGCTGCAGATCTGGAAGAGGCTGTGAGACCCTGGTGTGCTTTTTATCTCAGACTTCTTGCTCTGTGAAAGGTGGACAGTGGTGAGTGTTTATCTCTAACAAGGCGAATATTTGGTTGCCTCTTCCGTAGGATTTTTTGATTACTTTATACCATCTTAGGAAGTCATCAAAATCTGGCCAGTTCTTGAAAATAAGTAAGCCGCTCAAGTCAAAATTCAGGAATATTCAGTCAGAATTATACTATGACAGAATTTCACCACATTGGTGCCCTGTAAGCAAGGAAAGACTGTTAAGCTACTGTTTACTGTACTGTTATGCCAGATGAGGAAACCAGAAGTGCTTATATACATCACTCGAGAATGGATGGAAGCATTCATTTAGTGAAGTTCCCACTAACTGCATGTGACCAGGAGAGATACCTTGAGGCAGGGAAAGATTCTCATCTCTCTATGTACATTTCACAGAATCACAGAATCAATTAGGTTGGAAAAGACCTCTGAGATCATTGAGTCAAACCTATGACCTAACTACACCTTGTCACCCTCACCGTGGCACTAAGTGCCACATCCAGTCTTTTCTTAAACACCTCCAGGGACAGTGACTCTACCACCTCCCTGGGCAGCCCATTCCAATGTCCAATAATTCTTTCTGTGAAGAACTTCTTCCTAATGTCCTACCTAAACCTCCCCTGGCACATCTTAAGACCGTGCCCCCTTGTCCTACTGCTGGTTGCCTGGGAGAAGAGACCAACCCCCACCCGGCTACAACCTCCTTTCAGGTAGTTGTAGAGAGCGATCAGGTCTCCCCTGAGCCTCCTCTTCTCCAGGCTAAACAACCCCAGCTCCCTCAGCATCTTCTCATAGGACTTGTGCTCCAGGCCCTTCAGCAGCTTCGTTGCCCTTCTCTGGACCTGCTCCAGCACCTCAACATCCTTCCTAAACTGAGGGGCCCAGAACTGGATACAGCACTCCAGGTGTGGCCTCACCAGCGCTGAGTACAGCGGAAGAATCACTTCCCTGGTCCTGCTGGCAACACTATTCTTGATACAGGCCAGGATCCATTGGCTTTCTTGGCCACCTGGGCACACTGCTGGCTCATGTTCAGCCTGCTGTCAGTCAGAACCCCCAGGTCCCTTTCTGCCTGGCTGCTCTCCAGCCACTCTGTCCCCAAGCTGTAGTGCTCCATGGGGTTGTTGTGGCCAAAGTGCAGGACCTGGCACTTGGTCTTGTCGAACGTTGGATTTGACCCATCTGTCCATCCTGTCCAGATCCCTCTGCAGAGCCCTCCTACCCTGCAGCAGATCAACATTCCCCTCTAACTTGGTGTCACCTGCAAATTTGATAATGGTAGACTTGATCCCCTCATCCAGATCATCAGTAAAGACGTTAAATAGAACTGGGCCCAACACTGATCCCTGGGGGACACCACTAGTGACCAGCCA